GTAGGTCCTCAAGGTAGTTCAAAAGCAAAGATGGAGACAGAAGGCTCTACAACCAAGCTTGTGCAGAACGAACGATCCTGGTTTCATCTGTGACACCATCCCCATACCTAAGTGGACAACATTCTTGGATGAACTTCTCAAATTTTCTTAAACAGTCTCAGATTTTTTTAAAATCTCCTTTTAAGTTAAATTGAGATTGCACTTGAACTCCATCCAAGAGCGAGGCTGAACTGAATTATGATAATTAGAAAGCTGTGCCTATAATTTTTTTTTAAAGAAGGCAGGAGAGTTGATGTATTTTTTTTTTAAAGTTCATGCCAGAGAATATAAGTTCAGAATGTTCTCACATAATTCACATTTTCACCATTATGAGCAGTTTTCCAGTTTGCCTATCAGTATTGCTGTGTATTCCCAGGCCTTAGTGCTATAGAACATACAAACCTGTCAGATGCCTAGAAGAAGCTCCCAGAATTTCCCCCTGCAGAGGTGGACACTTAACTTCTTCATCAGTAAATCAGCCCACGTTTAAGTCTAAGTTAATTTCCCAACACTCTGTCTTTCCCCATTAGAAAAAAATGTTAATGGGGGGTTGCCATGTGGCTGTTGTTACAGGGGCTGCCTATCATGCATGAGACCAGAGTGTGATCCCAAGCAAGGGTATAATATAAACCCAGTGTGGTGACACGGGTCTGTACTTCAGCACGTAAGCAGCACAAGAATGAAGACCGTGAGTCCAGGATCTTGCTCAGCTACACAGTAAGCTGAAGGCCTGGTACATGGGACCTGTTTCAAAAAACAAACAAACAGACAGACAAAAAGCTAATGAAATTGTATGACAGAGCCTTAAAAACTAGTATGAATAAGAAAAGAACATAGAAAATATCAGCTTGAAATGGGGGGGAGAGGTTTACACAGCCCTCCCTTGGGCTGCCACAAAACTGAAAAGACATTTTCTCTGAAATACCAGCCCCATTATCCAATCAGAAGAGGACACACATACATACACACACACATACACACACACACACACACCCCACAGGGCACACATCCATCATCCCTACCCCCACTCCAGCCTGAGGAAGCCATCCTGAGACAATTGTGTAAGTGAACAAAATGGGAACTTGGGATCAGGGAGCAGCCCACCCTCTAGGAAACACTAACCTGATCCCTGCCCTGCAAAACCAAAACTTGCCATTTGCTTGGACCAAGTGAAAAAAAGCACATCTCAAAGCTCTCCTACTCTGCCTCAATGCAAAGTTGGAACATTTCTAAAGAAATGATCTCATTCCAACCTCAAGTTCAAATGTGAACTTAAGGAGAGCCATGACAGAGAACCTTGAAGGACTGACTGGCAACACAGTTCACAACTTTGAAACTGAACAAAAAAATCCTCCCAAAATGGAGACCCAAATATTCCAACTTTATACACATACTATGCCCCAGAAGCCAGCTATGCACAGTGGCCACACAACAGTGTCTAAATGAGTGTCTACCAAAAAGGCCAGCCCTGAGCTAGTGCTAAGGACTGACCTGAATTGCTTTATTTTTATCACCTTGACAAACAATAAATAAAACATATTAACACTACATGACTTAGGTTCCTACATAAAGGTAAGATGATCTGAAGCCTCTACAGCTAATAGAAGAAAAGGCAGCACGCAGCTCCAGAACATAATGGCAGCCATCCCCAGTGCCCAAGCAGTCAAGCACAGCGGATGTTGGTCAACGAGGGTGAGCAACAATATATTTTTCTTACGGAATTCAGAAGTAGGATATAAGCAGTCTGCAATTTCAGTCACAAAACTGTAATAAAAGAGAAACCTGCCTTAATTAGCAAAAATGATGAAGGTTTTCTTGCAGTTTGGGGGAGAAAGCTGAGCACTTGCTTCAGGTAGTATTTCTTAAGCCTGAAGGAAAAAAAAAAAGACCCTACTCAAAAGTTGTACCACTCGACAGATTCCGAATGGCTGTTACTCAGAAACACACACATATACTTCTTCTGCTTTCATATGCCCTTTATGGAAAAACAGGACCAAACACCTAAAATGGTAGCTTCGAAGCAAGGGCCCTAATCTCTGCACAGATATGGGTATTCTTTTGAAGCCTACTGGATAGCACACAGTTATCTACATGGACCTCTGGAGTGATTAAGACACCATCACAATTTCCATTTGCAAGCAGTTTAATTATACTCACAATTAGCCCGTAACACATGAGATTAGAGAGGAAAGTAATCCTACAGATGTTCAGGCTCTTCTTGTACAAGCATGGATTGGGGACGGAGGAGGGGATCTATCTATTACCAAAGCCGGCAACAACTTCCTAATGCTGCTCACAGCCTGTCTCATGGTTGGAGTCTCCATTCCCTCAACTGCTCTTGTTATATACACCTTTCCACAGACAATATGATGCCAAACACAGTCTAGACACAGATAGTTCCATAAAGATATACCTTCTTACATTTGCTTCTGTGTATCGCCAGAACCAACCAAAATCAAAACTAGTTATGCACTACTGAATTTAAGAACAACAACAACAAAAAAAATCTTTTCTTAGTTTTCTGTTTTCTTCCCAAATCAGAAGATGCCAGACTTCAAAATAAGTATGTGAAGATATAATCCCAGCTGTACACAGCAAAGAGGGGGAGAGAAAGAAGGAGGGTCAGGAAGCCAGGTCCGCACCAGGTGACCCATGCAGGCCCACCCTCACAGTCTCAGTGCTATAAGGGAAGTGCACTGTATGTACCACAGTAGCAGCGACAGTGGGAAGCGCACACTGTGTGCACAGTACAAGCAAGAGTTACTCATTCAGTTACTGTAGCCTGGGTCACACTATGCTACAAAGTCTGCCTGCTTCAAATTAAAGGTCACTAACTATATACATGTCCTGGTGAGTCCTGCCCTTTGCTTGTACAAAATCTCCAATAATCCCAGAATGTTCCCTAGAATTTATAGAGGATCCCAGGAAGAAGGACCTCACACAAAGATTCCTTCTCCCCCTTTTCCTCCCCACCTTTTTTTTTACTCTTTTGTAAAGGCAAAGTGTCTCTCTGGCTTTGTTTCAAACTTGTTTTTAAAAAATAAAAAGTATTCTAATATTTCCCTAAATCTTCAATTTAAACAATACTTGCCATTAAACAGAAAATAAAATGGTTTACTGAGGACATGAACAAGACTCAGTAATGGAAGACAGCTTATCAGCTCATTTTTTCATACAAACAATAAATAAAAGAACTGCAAACTCTGTTGAAAATCTGAAACCTAAGAGTCCAACACAGAGTTACACATTCAAAGAAATACTACACAAAAAGATCTTATGACCATTTATGGAAATACTGAGATTAGAAAAATCCGCCTTTCCCCCTTAAAATCATCAACAATTTAAAACCTTGCTGTTGACAAAGGTTTAGCTAAACGCATTTGTCTTTCGGGAGTCATGCTGTAACTGAGTCTACTGTTTCCTTCTAAAGAGGAAAGATTCTTACCAAAGTTGGATCTAACTCTGGCCCTTATAAGCATTCAGATGTGCCTGGGCCCAAAGATCCAGCTATTCACAGAAAAGCGCAGACTCCGCTGAAAGGCGGAAGCCCCTGGCACAGTCTGTACAGCCTGAGGACTATTCCCAGTCCCAGTCTCAAGGCAGATTAGCCCCCACCCAAGAGCTCAAGCTTGCAGAGAGACAAGCTACTCTTTGGCTCCGGGTAGATCGAGTCTCCCTAACGGAAAGGATCTGTCCACCCGGGGAACCACCTGCAGGCACTCAGCACGCTCTAAACCACCAGACCACCTAAACTTCCAGAACGAATCCACGCTACAAGGCGTAGAGGAGACTGAGATTCTGTTACTTTGCATTATCTGTAGGAATTGAAATATTTTCCTTTCACTATTTTGAAATATGATCGTATTTACAGACCTTTTTTGTTCCAAGGACCTCGGCTCCTTTCAAATGGCGCTATTTTAAAACCCGGCCTTTCTACACTCCCGATTCCTGGAATATCTGTCTGTAAGTTTCCAGCGCTGAGATCAATTTGCATTTCTGTAAATCACAGACAGCTTCTAAGAACCTAACAAGCCTCCTGAGAAACGCTGGTGGCTGGTATTTCATTGTTTCATAAATATTTTTATATGGGTGACACCATTCAACTTTAAATAAATCCTTAAAAAGAAAGACGATTAAACACCGAGGAAAACTAGTCTGGGTTTTATTTTCACGGGAAGAAGATAAGTGAAGTGTGAGCCTCTCATTGTTTTCCACTTCTTAAAATGTAGCTTTGATTTTTAAAAAATGCATTAAAAAAGAAAAAGGAAACTCCTAGAAGTTGAACTTTCTTTCAAACGGGCCTCTAGACTTTGAAAACAAGTGGTGCTGCCGCGAACAAAGGCTAAAAGTGTCCTCAGATTTTTTTTTTATTTCTTTTTTTGCCCTCCTGGGGATCGTTTCTCCTCCAATAAACAAACAAATCCCCCAGTATTTCCTACCGAGGGGAAGTTTTCCAGGGAGAGTCTACTCCCGGGTTTGGTGGTAAGTGCGACTCAGTCTTTTTTGGACACAATGTTTCTGCTGACTCCTGAAAATTTTCCACTTGAATGTGCACTGGAGCGGCGGCGGCGGCGGCGACAGCTCTGGAGAGGCGGCAAGGGCGAGAGAGCCCTCTTTCATCTCCCGGGAGGAGGAGCCCGGATCGGCGCGGACCCCGAAGGGGCCGGGCGCCGGGGGAGTCAACCGGCTGAAGGCTCTAGGCTGCGCGCCGGACGCTCTCCCCACCCGCGATCGCGCCGAACTCGGCGCTTCCCAGACAAGGAGCGAGGTGCGCGGGAGAGGGACGCTGGAGAGAGGGGCGCGCAGGAAAGGCGAGCGGAGCCGCCTGTTGCCGCTCGGGGTTGCGGCCCAACTTGCAGGGCGGCGGGGCCGCTCCCCTTCGGGAGCCGCACACACAAAGCGCCGATCGCGGTGACGCCTAGACAGCCCGCGCCCCCGAGTCCGCCCCGCGCGCAACTTACCTCGGCCGCCCGAGCGGGCGCGGCAAACTTTGGGGCGCTGGGCCGCCGCCCCCGCGCTACTCCAGCCGGTACTCCCCGCGGTACTCCCGCGCCGGGCAGCCCCAGCCCGGCCTCGCCGGCTCCCGGGACAGGCAGGGCGCGCCCGGGCAGCTGCCCGCACTCTGGCGACGCTGCGCGCTGGGGGGTCAGCGCATGGCCTGCGCCCCGCCGCGGCCGCCCCGGGCCCGGGCCCCGGCGCGCGGACTCCC